CATCGGGATTCGCCCCGAACGTCCCGATGGCCAGTCCGCCACTGCTAATTGACCACAATGGGATTACTATCTTAATGTCAGTGCAGGGTGCAGAGAAGGTTTCCTTATTCAAGGGGGCGATGTAGTGATTTAACCTTTGACTTGTTTTCCAAGTAGTCCTCCCTGTGGATCTGTGTTATATTCAAGGTTCTTTGTTTTGTCTTTAGTTGTTGTTGATCATTTCTCTCTCACACATAACCCCCCGCTGACTTTATGTGTCACTTGTGGACCTTCTGCTAATCTGAGGTCTGTCACAGGAGGAATGGTCAGGGATGGGCTTAGCTTGGCAATGTTTCAGGGATTTGAAAAGACACACACAAACACAAAAACATCCGGTCCCAAGAGAGCCGGGCGTCTGTTCAACCAGATGCGAGCCATCAGCACACTCACATGCACACTCACATGCACACTCACATGCACACTCACAATGAGACATATTCACAATTATTGCATTTACTGTAGTTATATATCATGCTCTCGTGTGCATGAATACATAATCACACACACACACACACCCACACACACACACACAAACACACACACACACACACACACACACACACACACACACACACACACACACACACACACACACACACACACACACACACACACACACACACACACACACACACACACACACACACACACACACACACAGCAGTGCCTCTATACCAGCCCCAGAGGAGTGAAACATATGTCTGCTCCCTCACCACTGGGGAGTGTCGAAGCAGGGGGGTAATGTTTATGAGAGTGTCATTAATATGACAAAACAAGGCTGGCGGAGGGATTTAGTGCACACTGTGGAGCTGCCATCACCTGTCAGGGCTTCTTATCCCCATCTTCACTGCAGTTAGCATCACCGTTAACATCTCACCAACACTAAAGACGGGTGATTAATCTCTGTTTAGGCTTTAAGTGTGTACTCAGTACCTGTGTCGACTCTTAAAGAAGTATTCAGATCCTCTAGAGCAGGGGTGTCAAACTCAAATACACAGTGGGCCAAAATAAAAAAATGGGTACTAGTCGAGGGCCGGACTGGTTCAATGTTTATTGCAGAACTTATTGAAATGAACTTATTGCACATATTAAACCTGGAACTAACAAAGCTTAAATGATTGCCTATAAAAACAACATTAAACATTAAATAATCAGTTGCATTCATTTCTTATGGCTCTATCTGCAGCTTTTCCAGAGTCATTTCTTATGATTACATTTCTCCACAGGCCAACAACAGCTTCAAAAAAACTATTCCCCTCAAAGAAAAAACCAAACATGCCCTGTTGTCGTGAGAAACAAAGTGCAGAAGGAAACATCCATGTAAACTCAGTGTGCTGCTCTGTGATGCTAGTTCAAGCCAGATACTTGGCATCTCATCTTGGGTGCAAGTTCATCAATGTTTGGGGTCAGGCTCTGAGCGGATTAGACCCTCAGGATTGAGTGAAGGTGTGCGTGCAATATACCGGCGGGCCAGATCTAATAGTAATTAGAAATGATCCTGCGGGCCGAAATTAAATCTACCAAGGGCCTGATTTGGCCCCCGGGCCTTGAGTTTGACACATGTGGTCTAAAAGCCCTGAAAACCTATTTTCTCAAGCAACCTTTTAAAGAATCGTTTGTTTTTGTACTTCTCCCTGGTTTGGCATGGGTTGTGCATACTTGGAAATAGATGATGTTGCATACTTTCATATGCACCAATCACAAATGTGCAATATACTGTAAGCAACAATACCACAAGTAAAAGCCCTGCATAGACCAAAGGTACCCATGTAAAAATGCACACATTGGTTTTGTTATGCAATGTTAATGTGCATTTTCTGGCTTCATTTTTGATTCTAGTAAAGATAATTATGAAATGAACATTGCACCTCCTGCAGTAGATTAATGATTAAAGCTCCAGTTAGGTAGCAGGTGTGACAATCAAGGTCATCAGAAGTAAAATGAGCTGAAGAAATGTTATCTTAATAATAACGTTTGAATTTATGTCATTTACTAATTGGTGGTAAAGGCAAAAAAAAGAACGTATTTTTCTTTATTTGGCCAACAACGGGGTTACAATTTGAGTTATACTTTAGGCTTTTACTACCTTTTGTCAGGTTTAGGGAGCGCCAATGAGTATTATAGCTTGATCACTCATTCAATAAGTCCAACTTATTACATTGAATGATGCAGATAGTAAAAAGGCTCATCATATGTAACAATATTCATCCGTCATATAAATGTACTGGATTCAAATGTATAATTAATAACTCTAAAATGTAAATAAGTCACAGTCAAAGCAGCATTGCATCAAAGTTAACTACCGCCAACTCCTGTCCCCAATATGTCCGTCTGTCATGCTTTTTAACTCCAGTTGTTTATGGGTTTGGTATTTTCTATTTAAACAATTGAAGCGTGCATCTGTTTGTGTATATAGGGACGCTCAAACACAAATGGTCTTCTACGTTTGTGTACTTGTGACAGGGAGAGATAAGGCGGTGTGTTAATCCATTCTGCGTGGGATCGGCCTCCCAACTGTCTCTCTTTTGTTGGTCCCCATCTCCAGCCGACCACATGTTGGCAAGATATTACAGCTTCTCTTAACAGGATAACTCACCACCTGTTCCACACCAACCATGCTAATCCTATAAACCATATACGCATGTCCGCTCCTTTGTCTTTTAAAGCACAGCTCTGCGTTTTATATTTGCCATTTGCAGCTAAAACGGTGTTAGTACTGTACGTCCTATCGTCATCTATTAGCGGTTGCCAGTCAATGAATTGAAGGATTGATTATGCAATCTGTTGCTCTCTAGCCGCCGGAGAGTATTGATGAAGATGTTTTAAAAATGATGAATTAAGGGGGGGGAGGGGCTTCATCATGTATGACTTAACATGAATTACTGCTGATGGATCACTTATGGAATGATTCATTAGTGCAGTTTAGTGCAGTGCATATGGTAAATGAAGAGATCACAGGGATTGTTTTTGTCAAAGAAAGCCCAATACAAGAAACCCATGCTGACTGTTGGTTATTGAATCCATTAATCTCCATCAACCCTCAACAATCCAAACATTAAAGGGACATATGACGCACGTTTTCAGGTGTATATCAGTATGTAGTGTCTCTACTTTAAAGAGTCCTCTCCTGCTGATGTTCAGGTGTATATCAGTATGTAGTGTCTCTACTTTAAAGAGTCCTCTCCTGCTGATGTTCAGGTGTATATCAGTATGTAGTGTCTCTACTTTAAAGAGTCCTCTCCTGCTGATGTTCAGGTATATATCAGTATGTAGTGTCTCTACTTTAAAGAGTCCTCTCCTGCTGATGTTCAGGTGTATATCAGTATGTAGTGTCTCTACTTTAAAGAGTCCTCTCCTGCTGATGTTCAGGTGTATATCAGTATGTAGTGTCTCTACTTTAAAGAGTCCTCTCCTGCTGATGTTCAGGTGTATATCAGTATGTAGTGTCTCTACTTTAAAGAGTCCTCTCCTGCTGATGTTCAGGTGTATATCAGTGTGTAGTGTCTCTACTTTAAAGAGTCCTCTCCTGCTGATGTTCAGGTGTATATCAGTATATAGTGTCTCTACTTTAAAGAGTCCTCTCCTGCTGATGTTCAGGTGTATATCAGTATGTAGTGTCTCTACTTTAAAGAGTCCTCTCCTGCTGATGTTCAGGTGTATATCAGTATGTAGTGTCTCTACTTTAAAGAGTCCTCTCCTGCTGATGTTCAGGTGTATATCAGTATGTAGTGTCTCTACTTTAAAGAGTCCTCTCCTGCTGATGTTCAGGTGTATATCAGTATGTAGTGTCTCTACTTTAAAGAGTCCTCTCCTGCTGATGTTCAGGTGTATATCAGTATGTAGTGTCTCTACTTTAAAGAGTCCTCTCCTGCTGATGTTCAGGTGTATATCAGTATGTAGTGTCTCTACTTTAAAGAGTCCTCTCCTGCTGATGTTCAGGTTCATATCAGTATGTAGTGTCTCTACTGGGACATGTCTCCATGCTTTAATGTTCAAAAAGCTCTTTATTTCTCTCATACTGCCTGTGCTGCAGCACCTCTTTTCACCCTCTGTCTGAAACCAGAGCCCAGTCTGCTCTGATTGGTTAGCTGGCCGGCTCTGTTGTGATTGGTCCACCGCTTAGAGATGCCCCGCCCCTTAGCCTATCATGTACAATAACATGCGTGTTACATAGTGATGTCATTATACTACAGAAGAAAACAAAGGAGTGGCATCGATGTCATTCAGGCAGGGGGGAGGGTGTGGGAGAGCAACTCCCTCTGGAGGAACTTTGGGATTGTAGTCTTTGAAGACCATTTACATGCACAAAAACCTGTAGAATTTCAGGGTAAATCCGAAAAAGCAAAATGCCCCCTTTTAAAGATCATCTGAGAGGCTACAAGTTGTAACTACCTTTCTACTTCTTATATAGTTCATCATCTAGGAAAGCATGTGTGCCAATCTATAATAGTTGTTGAGATTTAGCAGTTAGGACCAAAGTGTACAGACCGACTGAAAGACCAACATCACTGCTAGCAAGGCAGTCATCATTCTGTATACTAAAATGCTGCCACAGTTAATAATACAAATATACTCTTTATGTTGCTCTTTAAAAGTTAATTTAACTGACAAAAGAATATTTACGCACCAAGAAAAGCATTTCAGTCAAAGTCAAGTCAGTCAAAGTCAACTTTATTGTCAATCGAAATACTGTTTCCCACAATCCCGAATACAATAAAAAAGATATATAAACATATGTATACAAATATGTTTATATACACAATCAACAGACACATTTATACATATGCACACATTAAGACCTACATAAAAGCACCACAATCAATATATACAAAATAACAGTCACTTCAATATCTTTGAGAAATGTGCATTAGTGCAAGACTGTCATTTACGCTCTATGCAGACGATACCCTCTTCTCCACTAATCTCCCCTTTCCTCCCCTCTGTTTCCCCATCATTTGCAGGGCGGTGGTGCACATTCAGGTGAACGATGTGAATGAGTTTGCCCCGGTGTTTCGTGAGCCGGTGTACCGAGCCGCGGTGACGGAGGGAAAGATTTACGACAGCATTCTGCAGGTGGAGGCCACGGACCAGGACTGCTCCCCGCAGTACAGCCAGATCTGCAACTACCAGATCTCCAGCACCAACACACCCTTCGCTATCGACCGCAACGGTGAGTGGAGGAGAGGGGAACATATTGGATAGTTCCAGAGGTGGGAAGTAGTGGAGTTCAAATACTTCGTTACTGTACTTAAGTACATTTTTCTGGTATCAGTACTTTACTCCACTACTTTTTTTTCAGGCGACTTTTTAATTTTACTTCTTACATGTTGAACACAAATACCTGTACTTTCTACTTCTCACATTTCCCAAACAGGCTGGTTCCTTTAGTTTGAATGTGTGTTTGGTGGCGTGATCATTATTATTTAGAGTCATTGCGTGCCTATTGATTTGAACACGATCCGTGTATCCATCATTTCCTGGTCTTCTCTAAAGAAGAGGGACCAATGAAAACGTTGTCATGTTGCCGTTGTTCAGCATGGAAACATTCATTAGCTAACAATGACATTATTGTTCTATTAATATAAAGGGAGGTCAGGTACTCTTTAAAACAGCTGCTAGTTATGGGTACTTTTTACTGAAGTACATTTCAAAGCCCATACTTCTTTACTTTTACTTGAGTAAAGAAGTTTAGTCAGTACTTCTACTTTCACCAGAGTACTTTGAAACACGAGTATCAATACTTCTACTTGAGTAAAGGATGTGTGTACGTTTGACATCTCCGGATACTTTTCTTGAGATGCACATGGTTTTGTACTAGCCTGTTGACAGAGCCCCGAAATATGTCAGTGCTTGCCACAAAGAATCCTTGTTATTCCATCTAAACTGTGATCAACAGTGTCTGACAGTCATTGCATTTTAATATTTAGTTTGTGGTGAAGCGTTGTCACTTTTTTGTTGTACCCACTTTTCCCTCAGCTACTGCATTGGCAGCACTCAAAAGTTATTTTCTCCACATCTTATTCAAAGACGATGTAAAAAACATTTCTGTCATAACACACTAGCACTGAAATACCATACATGCACAGACTTTCTATAGGAGATAGACACACAGACACTTGTACACACACACACACATACCTTCACACACTCTGGAAGCAAAACCTAATAAACTGGCAGATGTCTCTCCCCGGGATAAAATGTGTTCTTTGCTCTTTCCAAGGACAAAGTCAAGCTTCGCCCAAAGAGCCATGGGTCACCATAAATCAGATCACAGAAGTCTGAACACAAACACAGCCAGACAAAGATAAATCCTAAGAAAAATCACTCTGAAATACCCTCACAAATGTACTTTCCTTTCCACTTTGAAACCTCTGTTCTTGAACCCAGCAAACACAGAGTGTGTTATTGTTACTAACACTCTGACATATTGAGTTTGTGAGCGATGCGTACACAAATATCTTGAGAGATGAGTAGGTTGTTTTTTGTCCTCTACTGACCTTATGCCCCTTCCTAGCTTAATGGAAGACACGTGCTTTTAATACATTCATATTTCTCATTGGGTCTTTTATGTTTGAACACCCTTGTTGGGTCGATCACACAAAGTCAAGTGGTACACAAAGTGTTCCTTGAGTGCACTCATTATTTCTACATTCTTACCACTGTTAGACCAGCTATTTGTATGCAACTGCCTCGTGGCTTTTCATAAACAATCTGCATACACTTCTGCTGTTAGGAGACATACTGTAGATGCTAGGGGTCATTACTGTTCAGGTCTATGTTGCTGCTGACTGCTGAGGTGTTACAAAAGAAAGGCTGAGTGGACGAGGTATGGGCCAAACTGCACAATGATACACAAGTGCTCTTCCTTCTCTCCCTCCGTTTGAAGAGGTCTCGCTCAGCCGTTGACCGCAGAGGAAAAGGGGTTGAGAGCTCTCAAACTGAAGAGCACCTGAGGGAGGGAGGGAGGGAGGGAGGGATGGGGTAGATGGAGGGAGGACAGGGGGAGTTGGCTGTGAGGGTGAAAGTAAGTGCTTGGAGAGGAACAGCGAGAAAATGCAATATGAAGCTCTATAGGTAAATAAACAAAAAGGATAGAGCTGGCGTTATTCCATAGTATACCCTCTACCAGTAATCCCTTTAGAACATCATGAGCAAAAATGAATGGATCCATCTAATGGATGTGTTTGTTGCCAAAGCCTCATATATATATAATTCCTCTTTAATAATAATTAATAATTCCTTATATTTATTATAGCGCTTTTTCCATGACCCAAAGCGCTTTACAGATACACATTACACATACATACATGTAACGGTCATGTACTGTGGACAATACCCACAGGAGCAAATTCAGGTGAAGTGTCTTGCCCAAGGACACAACGGCTTTACAGACGCAGCGGCGGCGGAGGCGGGTTTTGCCCCCTTGATCTGATGATCAATGCACAGCCCACTGCGCCACACCGCCCATCTTCACACCTCAGAGTCATCAAGGCGCTTTACAAGTACACATTAGTATCATACATGTACTGTGGACAATACCCACAGGAGCAAATTCGGGTGAAGTGTCTTGCCCAAGGACACAACGGTCTAACGGCAGGAGCGGGTTTCGAACTGGAGTTCCCCAACGCCCCCTTGATCCGATGATCAAACGCACAGCCCGCTGCGCCACTCCGCCCCTATATCTTTGCCATAGATTGTCCAAAAACGATTATCTATAACATTTTAGTCAAACTATTGCGTCACTACCATGAAAACAAACCTCTCCCGTGACATTTTTAGCGCATGTAGGTGAAAATGATTTCAAGTGACACACTACATGCAATATATTTGTATACGCTAATATTTCTTATTTTCTTTTTTTTAGAGTTATATAGAGATTAAATTGAAGTCTAAACCACCTCTCAGCATTGTGGTCCCCGCATTGTCCCACACAAACCTACTCTTTGTCCCATATTTGGCCCATCTGCACCCGGTCACACTACCCAACCCCTAACCCTAACCCAAACCTAACCCTAACCCTAACCCTAACCCTAACCCTATTGAAAATATTCCGTGGCACAACAAACCTGTCTTCATCCACACCTAAAAACAGTTTCAAAATGCTGCACTTTTCACTTTTGTGTGAGTAACAATTGCTGAAAACTATAGTCAGCAGCTGTTTTCTGTTTTTCACTCTCAAACCAATTATGAAACTATATCTGTGTGTCCCATTTGTAAAGATATAGGGTAGCCCATTCACAGAGAGAGCACGCCTCACTGACAGCAACTAGTGAAATGGTACAAGGCTGCAAAACACAGAGGCAATGATGTGCATTGAAAGTGATAGTGAGGGTTGGAAAGGGGGAGAACGAGGAGGGAAGGAATCCTAAACGAGCTGAGAGGGAGACGCAGAATGTGAGATGAGGAAGACCGAACAACGTCGCACTCATATGAATAACATCTAATCCTCCTATTCACACACACACATATTCAAATACACCACATTATCAACATTCAGCTCCCTCGGCACCTCTCTTCCCACAATACAACAATCTCAATAAGAGTACAGGCTGTTACACAAGCCCCAATAACACAGCTACGTTTCAACTCCAGAACCAATGAGGGCCAATAACATCTCGTCTCAACGCTCACAAGTGTTCTCAGTCGTGGTGCTGATCGGCCCGGCTGTGTGAATATAGCATTGTCATCTGTCTGTATTTGAAAACTCATCAAATATTAACAGATACATTAGCACAAGAGCTCCCTTCATGCTCTCTGCTCAGCATGATGAAGACTCAGCGTTTGGTAAATGGGTCGCGGTTTCCATGCAGACAGGAGACTCGTTCTATGTGGTCTGGATGCTGGAATTAATAGAGACGAGACGCTTATTTGTTTCCTTCAAGGTTCTGTGTGAGGCGTTCTAACATCACAAAATCATTGCCTCATTAATTTTGATAAATATTTGTACTAGGCTATTTCTTTCAAAGCAGGCAGGCTACACTGTGGACCCAAGTTGAATCGTTAAAGCTCTGTTATGTGTTTGAGGGGTTTCCCTTTCCTGTGAGTTATAAAGGTTTAGTGCATGTAAATGGTCTGCAAAGACTAAAATCCCAAAGTTCCCTCCAGAGGCAGTTTCTCTCCCACACACTCCCCCCCTCACCGAAACGCCTCGATTGGACTCCTTTGTTAACTTCTGTAACATTATAGGCCAAGGGGCGGGACATCTCTAAGGGCTTGACCAATCACAGCAGAGCCGGCCAGCTAACCAGTCAGAGCAGACTGGGCTCTGGTTTCAGACAGAGGGTGAAAAGAGGTGCTGCAGCACAGGCAGTACTGTATGAGAACAATTGTAACCAGCTGAGTATTAGGGAAGCACTACCTGTTCGATTATTGATAAGGTATTTCACTTATTTCACAAGTTCCTTATACTTTGCATGCTACCCCACACGTACACTTTGAAAGCAGCCTTCCTTAAAGGGGTATTCCTCAAATGTAATATTGTACTTCCATCAATTTCCGAACTTCAAAAAATCGATGCAGCAGCGTCCGAAGAGTTCCAACTTATAAGTCCTTCTACACTTCAGATAATTCAAAAGTGTTGCCTGCCAAACCCTGACCCCCTAAAGACTATCCTTGCCTAGTTTGTGAACACAGGTTTTGTTTAAAAGAACAACCACATTTTTTGTGAATGAAGATATACACTTCAATTGGGAAAAAGGTTGTAGGGGCACAACCACTTTTAATATACACTATTTTTTACCTTCAAAAAATAAAGTAACACTGTGGAGGGTTAGGGCTTTATAGCGTCAGGAAGCAACAGGGGTTTAATGGAAACGTGGTTTTAATTTTGAGAAACATTAGTGCTAATCGAACCACTTGTGAGAAATGGAGGCTACCTGTCATCCCAAACATGATCTCATTTGTTACAGTGATTATATTAAGGCATCACAGTTAATTAGACAATGAGATACAATGATTTGGGCAAACACAGGCATACACACAAGTGGGGTTATCTAATATGTCAGATTTGTCATGGATACACACACGGCTTTACCGTTATTTATGTGACTTCTCACCTTTCTCAAGTGTATACTCAAGCTTTCTATAGACTCGACACTTAAGTCATATGTCAGTAGACAGAAGAGAAGTCATCAGACTGAAGTACAGCTCCATTAAAGGTGGGGTAGGTAAGTTTGAGAAACCAGCTCGAGTGCGCTAGAATTTGAAAATACACAGCCAGAAAAATCTGCCACTTCCTTACAGAGCCCCTCCTCCAACACACACGAACGCGCACATGACCAATGAGGGCACGAGATAAGTTTGTGCACAGATGGAAGGCTGACAGGCAGGTAGGCCATCCAGTTATTTTAGCCGGGCCGGCTCAAATGATTGGTCGTACTTTTTACAGTACTACGGCTTCCACAGATGACATTTTTTTATGGATTTTTTGTCAAAGCACTTCAGATATTCATTGCTATCAGGATGTTAAGAGCATTCCATGGAATATAACAAAAAGTGTATCTCGAGCCGGTTTCTCAAACTTACCTACCCCACCTTTAAGGGCCAATCTGAAAGTTGAGTAGCTATGAATATGGAATAATATCTGGTGCTCATTGCTTATGACTGCAATAAGATATAAAACTTGTTTAGCTGTAAGAGCCTACACAGCCGTTTTATGACTCTATTACGACTGTCTCCAAACTTCTGGTAACAGAAACACACTATTTCTCATCACCTGATCTAAGTTTATGGTATTTATTACAGAAATAAAGTGTCGATTTATTTCTAATGACCTTCCTGAACTACTTCTCCTAACTTTTACTGTGCTATGCAAATAAAGTTCTGTACTTATGACCTTATTCCAGACTTAAGGGAAGAGATTTTAAGAGTCTAAACAACACAATAAATAACATATGGACTATAGAATATGTATATCCATCAAATTGATATGCCCGATAGACTGTCAATGTTTTAATATATGTCAACGGATTATAAAACTTCTCCTAACTCAGCCAGAAAGGAGTTACTTCGAGAAAGTGTTTCGCCCAAAGGACCCTAAAACTGAAGCAGCTAGCTAGATTTCATCCTTAATTGATTTCATTATGTGCACCTGCACTTTTTCTACTGTCTTCTGTGAAAGAAAGTGCCTCAGATAAGTACCACCCACCCCCCTGTAATGAGACTAATCATATTCACCTTAATTGCCTAAATTAATTTCAGGTGTAGAGAAAACTGAACCGAAGAACTGCTTCGTTTGGAGGCAGTTTGACACACCGATGACTGTCGACAATAAATGAACAACACTTTTAAAGGTCCCCTATTATACTGTTTTTCATTACTTTATTATAGGTCTCAGATATATACAGAACCTGTCTCTGATTGGCTGAAACACCAAACAGATCATTGCAGCATCCCATAATCCCCTCTGTTTCAGCCCTGTTTCCAAAGTGCTGATTCTCTGTCTGTTACTTTAGATGAAAATAAGGAGCCCCTCCCCACGCCCCTCTGAGAGATATTTGGTTACAAAGAACTCAATGGTGCTCTAGGAGGAGATTCAGGTGATAAGGTGGGGGGTTACCTTGGTTGCTGATTGGCTAATGGTTACACAAGCCAACAAATCGTTATGACATCATAAAGTGGCCAAAATCTGATCAGCTCATTTTCAGACAGGTTTTTATATAAATGGATCAGGACAAAAAGAGAGAGAATCTTTTTTCCTGAAACTTTCAGAATCTCTTTCCACAGAGGGGACACATGTTGATGTAGAAAAGCAGAGATGGCAAAGTACACACATCCTTTACTCAAGTAGAAGTACAGATACTCGTGTTTCAAAATACTCGGGTAAAAGTAGAAGTACTGACTAAACTTCTTTACTCAAGTAAAAGTAAAGAGGGCTTTGAAATGTACTTCAGTAAAAAGTACCCATAACTAGCAGCTGTTTTAAAGAGTACCTGACCTCCCTTTATATTAATAGAACAATAATGTCATTGTTAGCTAATGAATGTTTCCATGCTGAACAACGGCAACATGACAACGTTTTCATTGGTCCCTCTTCTTTAGAGAAGACCAGGAAATGATGGATACACGGATCGTGTTCAAATCAATAGGCACGCAATGACTCTAAATAATAATGATCACGCCACCAAACACACATTCAAACTAAAGGAACCAGCCTGTTTGGGAAATGTAACAAGTAGAAAGTACAGGTATTTGTGTTCAACATGTAAGAAGTAGAAAGTACAGGTATTTGTGTTCAACATGTAAGAAGTAGAAAGTACAGGTATTTGTGTTCAACATGTAAGAAGTAGAAAGTACAGGTATTTGTGTTCAACATGTAAGAAGTAGAAAGTAGAGGTATTTGTGTTCAACATGTAAGAAGTAGAAAGTACAGGTATTTGTGTTCAACATGTAAGAAGTAGAAAGTACAGGTATTTGTGTTCAAAATGTAAGAAGTAGAAAGTACAGGTATTTGTGTTCAACATGTAAGAAGTAGAAAGTACAGGTATTTGTGTTCAAAATGTAAGAAGTAGAAAGTACAGGTATTTGTGTTCAAAATGTAAGAAGTAGAAAGTACAGGTATTTGTGTTCAACATGTAAGAAGTAGAAAGTACAGGTATTTGTGTTCAAAATGTAAGAAGTAGAAAGTACAGGTATTTGGGTTCAACATGTAAGAAGTCAAAGTAAAAAGTCGTCAGAAAAATAAGAAGTGGAGTAAAGTACTGATACCAGAAACATGTACTTAAGTACAGTAACGAAGTATTTTAACTCCACTACTTCCCACCTCTGAATAAAAGACATGAAAAAGTGGATTCTGCGTAATAGGTTACCTTTCAAATGAAAAAAAATCAATTTGAGTTGACTTTGAGCCTCTGTTCTCCACACTAGGTAACATCAGGAACACGGAGAAGCTGAGTTTCGACCGGCAGCAGCAGTTTGAGATCCAGGTGACGGCGTGGGACTGCGGGCAGAAGAGAGCGCTGCACAGCGTGCCGGTCCACATCAACGTCAAGCCCGTCTGCAAACCTGGCTGGCAAGGTGGGACCAATCACATTCATGCGATGATTCCAGGCGGTTCTGACTGAGCAACAGCCAGAAACACAGATGCAATTATTTCTGCACGACTGCTTACGTTTGTTAAAGTTGTGGGAGCATAATCACTTTTAATATATACTATTTGTAATTGCAAATTGACTTTGGCAACAATGAGTCATTACTCTACCCTGATGCCAAACATAAAATAGATTTATTTTGCCGATTTTGAAGAGGGAAGAACTACCTGTTTGATTATTGATAAGATATTACACAGATTTAACATTGCAACATTAGAAGTTCCTTATACATTGCATGCTACCCCAGAGGTGCACATTGAAAGCAGCCATCCTTTAAAGGGGTATCCCAGCAATTTAATATTGTACTTCAAGAAAGTGCGGGATTTTCAAAAATCAATGCAGCAGAGTCCAAAGGGTTTAATATACACTATTTGTTACCTTCAAAAAAATAAAGTAACACTGTGGAGGGTTAGGGCTTTATAGCGTCAGGAAGCAACAGGGGTTTAATGGAAACGTGGTTTTAATTTTGAGAAACATTAGTGCTAATCGAACCACTTGTGAGAAATGGAGGCTACCTGTCATCCCAAACATGATCTCATTTGTTACAGTGATTATATTAAGGCATCACAGTTAATTAGACAATGAGATACAATGATGCTTTAAAATTAAAATTAAACACCCATTACTCATTTGGGCAAACACAGGCATACACACAAGTGGGGTTATCTAATAAGTCAGATTTGTCATGGATACACACACGGCTTTACCGTTATTTATGTGACTTCTCACCTTTCTCAAGTGTATGCTCAAGCTTTCTATAGACTTGACACGTAAGTCATATGTCAGTAGACAGAAGAGAAGTCATCAGAGTGAAGTATAGCTCCATTAAGGGCCAATCTGAAAGTTGAGTAGCTATGAATATGGAATAATATCTGAAATTGGCCCTTAATGGAATCCTGGAATCACATTCATTCAGTGATTCCAGGCAGTTGTGACTGAGCAACAGCCAGAAACACAGATGCAATTGTTCGTGCACGACTGCTTAAGTTTGTACAATGAGCGCCTGGCTGTATTTTACAGCATGGGCACACGGATGGAGCATGAAGTCAGAGCTGTGTTTACGGACAGGAATACAGGTGGGCTTATTTGCAGGGCTTTACTTCAGTGTGTGTGCTCTCACCTCCGAGTGTGTGGTAGTTTATTGTTCTCTGTGTGAGCTTATCACTTTTTACGTCTGCCTTTCTATATTTCTGGATCTCTCTTCCTTCCTGTTGTGACCCTCTCCCTCTGAATCTCTTCCTCACCTTCCTCCCTGAGGAATTGGTCTGTCAAGTTTAGCTGGTGTGATCAACGGCACTTTACTAAGAACACCGTGAGACAGCCAACACGGCTCTTAGCACATCAGAAAGCTGTCATGGCAGCCTTAACAAGGACTAGAGTAATGCAAAGACAAGTGTCTGCGGTGAGTGCTACAGCAACACAAACAGCGCTTGGGAAAACTGGACACGTTATTTACACCTGTCAGAGAGGGCCAGAGATGGTAACAGTACACACATCCTTTACTCAAGTGGAAGTACAGATACTCGTGTTTAAAAATACTCTGGTAAAAGTAGAAGTACTGACTAAACTTCTTTACTCAAGTAAAAGTAAAGAAGTATGGGCTTTGAAATGTACTTAAGTAAAAAGTACCCATAACTACCAGCTGTTTTAAAGAGTACCTGACCTCCCTTTATATTAATAGAACAATAATGTCATTGTTAGCTAATGAATGTTTCCATGCTGAACAACGGCAACATGACAACGTTTTCATTGGTCCCTCTTCTTTAGAGAAGACCAGGAAATGATGGATACACGGATCGTGTTCAAATCAATAGGCACGCAATGACTCTAAATAATAATGATCACGCCACCAAACACACATTCAAACTAAAGGAACCAGCCTGTTTGGGAAATGGAAGAAGTAGAAAGTACAGGTATTTGTGTTCAACATGTAAGAAGTAGAAAGTACAGGTATTTGAGTTCAACATGTAAGAAGTAGAAAGTACAGGTATTTGTGTTCAACATGTAAGAAGTAGAAAGTACAGGTATTTGGGTTCAACATGTAAGAAGTAGAAAGTATAGGTATTTGTGTTCAACATGTAAGGAATAAAAGTAAAAAGTCGTCAGAAAAATAAGTAGTGGAGTAAAGTACTGATACCAGAAAAATGTAAGTACAGTAACGAAGTATTTGTACTCCACTACTTCCCACCTCTGCCTGTCAGAGATGTGATGGAGGACGAACATGTGCCAGGTGTGGCTTCACATGTAGCCGTGTGCAATCTGTGTTGCTCCGTCACTAACAGGGTGATTCATGACCTGGATTTCTTTGGCGTTGAGCCATTAACGTCCCGCAGGACGAGATGTTAGCGGGCTGCTGACAAACAGCAGTAAACGAGACCCTGGCAGCAGCTCAGTGCCACTGAACCCTGCTCAAAGAAACTGTGAAATCCTCTGGCGTCTATTCAATCTTTCAATCTGTGTTTTTTAGAAGTATCAACACATGCCGGTGGTTTTAGATGAATTCACATGGTTCTGATCTACGGATGAAATGTGCACGTTTTGGGATCTTAAATCAAGACCGAACAGCGATTCATTTTTTATCAGGAAAATAAATGATTCAAGCGATGTCTTGAAATTCTTAACATTAGTACTTTCTAGCCTGAATTATTTCTTAAGAAGGGAACTTTTTTTGCAGAGCAGTAACAACTCTCCCAGACGAGGGACTGATTTTAAGATTCAGAGGAATTAAAGTCGCTGAATCAAAAAGAAACAATGAAAGGTAAAAGTTTTACTCCTCTGCTCTACACTTTAAAATGAGTACATGAAAGTAGTACAAAGTCACTGTGGCAGCACTTGGCAGCATGCTGTGTCGTGGGTTTGTGCCTTATCGCCAAGGGGCAAAGTTACAAACAGTAATGACGCCAAGTGGAATCACAGACTTCACGATGAACTATAAAAGCGTGCAGGAACTACAGACTCACACACACAAGAGAGTGAGCTACACACATTTAATTGTCTAACATCAAACACACCCAAACTTTTGAGATGCATTGATCTCATTTCCACGGAGCTACTGTGGGAGTGTGTGTGACTTTAATGTCTGCATACAACACGGCTGTGACATTAACTCCTCTCTAGGCTCTCAGCGATAATCCTGTCTTTGAAGCGTGTTTGCAATACTTTTTCTGTCGGTGCATTTTTGGGCAAATTACAATGTTCAGCACACGATTAGGGTGAGAAGATACACAGGAAAACACACGAGCACTGATACACTTTCCCCAGATGAAAGGGCAGACAGTCCCTGAGAGCGTTGTTTGGCAGCAGGTATGGGGGGGGGGTTGGGGGGGTAAATGCCATGGCTACAGATCAGGGAATATTTAACAGAGCTAGTGTTGTTTGTATTAAAGAGGCCCTGTTATCCTTTTTGAGGTTTTCCCTTTCCTGTAGTGTTTTATATAGGATTGTGTGCATGTAAATATCCTGACATAGTGACATCACCATGTAACACTCGCGCTTCTATTGGCTAGCGCTCCAACACATTGTACGTGATACGCTAAGGGGCGGGACATCTCTAAGAGGTTGACCAATCACAACAGAGCCTGCCAGCTAACCAATCAGAGCAGACTGGGCTCTGGTTTCAGACAGAGGGTGAAAAGAGGTGCTGCAGCACAGGCAGTATGAGAAAAATAAAGAGCTTTTTGAACATTAAAGCATGGAGACATGTAGAGACACTACATATTGATATACACCTGAACATCAGCAGGAGAGGACTCTTTAAAGTAGAGACACTACATACTGATATACACCTGAACATCAGCAGGAGAGGACTCTTTAAAGTAGAGACACTACATACTGATATACACCTGAACATCAGCAGGAGAGGACTCTTTAAAGTAGAGACACTACATACTGATATACACCTGAACATCAGCAGGAGAGGACTCTTTAAAGTAGAGACACTACATACTGATATACACCTGAACATCAGCAGGAGAGGACTCTTTAAAGTAGAGACACTACATACTGATATACACCTGAACATCAGCAGGAGAGGACTCTTTAAAGTAGAGACACTACATACTGATATACACCTGAACATCAGCAGGAGAGGACTCTTTAAAGTAGAGACACTACATACTGATATGAACCTGAACATTTGCACAAATAGGGCCCCTTTAAAGGCAGGCTACTGTGGGAACATCAAAGCAAATACACAAAATATGTTTTCCTGGTAAAAGAACAGTAATATATCTGGTAAAATTAGCCATGGTCTTTTGCTGTGGACAGGAAGGCTCAGCTGTGTGTCTGTCGTTACGAATCAGGTCTTTACAGACTGTATAAAAAGGTCCTCGATGGACTTGAGGAAACTAATTTCACCGACTTGTAGTGCTTGTCTACCCGCACAAATAAACGCTCACATTTGCTTATATAAGACCTTACTACAATAGGCCCTGTGTGCACAAGCTCCTTTGCCTGGTAGGAGCTGGTGAGAGCCTCCTCCCAGCGTTCAATCGAAAAACACTCCCAATATTCCTAAAAACATATCACCTGACTTGTTTTGCCCTGTTGCCTTTTATTATCTATGTGAGATACTCTATATTTGTTTGATATTGTGTTTTTCATCATGAACATAAACTGGAAGATGTTTGCTCTTAGGCTGTTTCAATGAGCTTAAACACTCAACCTGACAGCTGTGGAGCGTGGAGGACGATACGCGCATGGAGATAAAAGTGAAACACTCAGTGTCTGCCATGCCGATTTGCTCAAACAAATGGGCTTTTCAGTCTTTGTTATGACAGTTTCATGATGGAAAACATGGACAAAAACAAGCGTATCCTCCAGTTTCTACAGCGACTTCACAGTTGCTTTCCTCAAAGCTGCAAATATTTTCAATTTGTAGGAACAATTGAAAAAGAAGCTGCCACTCAGGAAAGGTGCAATGTGGAC